CCATTAATGCAATATAAACATCTGAGCTAGCTTGGCAGGCCTATTATCATATAAATATAACTTCTATTTCTACAGTTATTATCATCACCACAACTATTATTATTGTTATTATATATAAAAATTTTCAAAATTAATCACTCGTTGTTTTAATTAACTTTAATAAATTGCATTCAAAATCACAATTGTAATGATATGTAGTATAATATACTATAATTTTTATAGATGTTGCTACATTAATAATGTTATTGACATTCAAATCACACTAATCATTTTTTTTCAATTCAAGGATAAAAACAACGTAATTAACAACAACAACGATATCAACAGCAACAACAACAAAAACATCAACAAAAATATCGATAAGAAACATCAGAACAAAACATTGTCAAAAATATCAACAACAACAACAACAGCAGCAGCAACAACAACAACAACAGCAGCAGCAACAACAACAACAACAGCAACAACAGCAACAACAACAACAGCAACAACAGCAACAACAACAACAACAACTTCTGCAACGACATAAGAAAAATAAAAGCAGGACAAGCAGGTAAAATGTTTTTACATGTATGTATGTGAATGTGCGCGCGCGTGTGTGTGAATGTGTTTTTGTGTGTGTTTGCTTTCATAAAATTATAAAACACACATGATTATATGCTCAATACTCATTGTTACATGCATAATTACAATATATTACAAATTGTATACCCGAAGTTAGTTTTGTCTGATGTGTGTCTTTTTGTCGGGGCAAATATGATGTACGGTAAGTATGATTTGTAATTGTTTAAGAAACAAATATAAAAATTTTAACAAATTGAATGAAAAGAATCACTGCTGAAATCTTGAAAGACAGTAAAAAATATTATATGTGCGGAGAGATAGAGAAAGAGAGAGAGAGAGAGAGAGGAGAGAGAAAGAGAGAGAAAGAGAGAGAAAGAGAGAAAAAGATAATGAAGAAAAAGAGAAAGGAAGAGGAAAGGGGGGAGAAACCCATTAACGCTATCAATAACATTAGTCGGCTTCCTATTGTGTTAAAAAGTGAATGTAGAAAAATATTAACGGTCTTTTGTTCTAATGAAAGTGCATTGATAAATTTTTAGACTCTAATAGGAATAAAAATTGTACATTGATTATTCCCCTCATAAAACATTCGTTGTATGTGTGTTGTTCTGTTGTGTTGCGTGTGTGTGCATGTGTGCATGTGTGTGTTTTTAAATGTGTGCGTGTGCTTGCGTGAACATGCGTGTAAGAATACGTCCGTGAACGCATTGCTTTCTGAGTAAAAGGATGACGTTTCTGGCATTTGTTGATGTCGGCGGTGATTGTGACATGGTGACGAGGTGATTTGTTACGATGATGACGATGATAGTGAGTGGGAGGATGGAGACGAGGTTAATGTAAGATTGCAAGAGTTATCATGCTGGCGTTATTGGCGGTTGAAACATTGTGTGAATGATGATGGTGCTTCAGGCCATGATGATGATGATGAAAACAATAATAATAATAATAATGATGATGATGATGATGATGATGATGATGAGGTTGATGATGATGATGATGACAATGTGTGATTGAAGCATGCAGAAACACCTGCATTTTATTGTCTCCTTCATTCTCCCTCATTCATTCTTTCATTCATCTTCCATTTTTAATTTTAAATGCACTAGTTGAATGATTGGTAGCACGTTTTGATCTCACGTAACATTTACGCCAATATAGATGCATATTTATATGGGTTTAATTTCGTATACACAGACACGCGCACACACAAACACACACGCGCGCACATACAGACGCAATCGCATACAGACTCACAAACTTCCAAAAATCTTTAACAATTGTTACCATTATTTAATTTATATACCCGCATATAATTTTTCATATAAATTAAATTTAAAATTTTAATCCCATACAATTCATTTTCTCATTGAGGTTAAATTTTTATAAGTGAGAGATTGAGGAAAAAGAGGAGGGGTAGTTGGAAAAAAGAGACCAAGGTAATGAAAATGATGAAAAAATTGCTGTTTCGTACCTGATATATTGTATTGGAGTGTCTTTCACGATGATCTTTGAATTAATTTAAATTTATAAAAAATCTCTTATCTCGTGTTGTGCGTCCGTGTGTGCTTGTGAATTGATTTAATTATACCTCTGTTTTAAATCAATTTTCAATTAGAATTTTTCAAATGTCAGTGACTGTGAGATATTTATGAAACAGTTTCTGCAGTTTATTATTTGAAATCAATTAAATTAATGACTCATCATTAAGAACGCGTGTCGAAGTTGCTTGGATGGAGAGGTGGAGGGAGTTGTAAATTTTGCTGGATTAATGAAAATGAGTTGCAACTCGCAGTGGTTGTGAGATGGGGAAGATAGATAATGATGAGGGAATGAATGATGATGAAATGGATGACGATGGAATGGTGGTGTTGGTAAAGATTAGGATGATGATAATGATGAGTGGCTAGAACATGCAGCGTTTCATGAATCTATATATTAACTTTTTTGAGTGAAGAAGACGAAATTATTTAAATTAATAATCTAAAATAAATTAAAAATCTAAACAGCTTCGTTAGTTAGGATGATGTTTGTCGATGATGGTGATGATGATGATGTTGTAGTAAGTGATGAGGATGATATTGTAAACATCGATGTGATCACTTTAACATTAATGATGATAATGTTGCTGATAATAGTGATAATGAGAACAACGACAAATTAGATTTTAGTTCAGTAATGTAATATGGCATATTTCTTTCTGGCTCTTTCTCTATTCTTAGTTTTTTTATATAGGTACATTTTATGCTTTCTCTCTTCCAATCTACTATTTCTTCTCTCTCTCTTCTATATCGTTGTCTTTCTTTTCTACCTTTCTTTCATTCACTTTTGCTTTTCCTAATTCAGCATCATGTTCAATAGACATTATTGTCTTTAACAACACCACCTTTGATTCAAGTCATCTTGGTTTAAATAAAGTAAAGGCATTCGTTGATTTACTAACATTTTGTTGAAAATAATTCAATAATAATTCATTAGATAACTTTTCTAAAAATCCAAATAAAACTTTGTAAATTGTCAATTTTTCATTTTCACTTATGAAAATAAATCTTTCAATGAATCAATTTTAACTAAGTTCTTAAACGTCAAAAGATTTACAAAATCAAAATATTTGAAATCTTTGTAATTAAAGAAAAATGTTCGTTCCGAGTATGATACCCATATCCAGGAATTTTGGCTGGCTAGGTACATCAAAGTGGATATAATTGTAAAATGAAACATCAGATGGCGGAAAGACAACTATGTAAAATAAGTAAAAATGAAGAAATCTTTCAAAAGCAACATTAAAATGTTAATAGTTGACCTACAAATACTGTAATTTAAATATGAATGTTAAAAGCGTTGACAATTACAAATACATATTTTAGAGGCATCCATAGTTAGTTGTTCATGGTTGTAAAACAGAAATATGAGACAAAGTTTTTAAACAAAGTTATAAATGTTGTGCAAAGCGATGTTGGAAAACACGTTGTAAAACAAAGTTGTGAGTGTTGCCAACCCAGCCCTATATAAATCGTGCAGGTTGCATTTAGTTGACAAATTCGGCCAACTTAGTGATCTTACTTGTTTATTTGTTTCGCTAATCTGTCTTGAGTTATTTTGCTAGTTCTGAATTTGTATTCACGATGAGCGAATATGAAAAGTTCGATGAAAGTTTTTCCATAGACGAGTCCGCGTCCAGATCAAACTCCAGGTCTGTATCTCCTGTTGGAAAAAAGAAGTTCAGCGTTTTTGAATCAAAAACTTCACGCAAACGAAAGCGTTCCAAAAGTTCAACCGAAGACAAATCTGTGTCCAGCTCAAAATCTAGGTCGGCCAGTCCAGTAAAGAAAAAAAATTTTAGCGTTTCTGTGTCAAGATCGAAAACTCCACGCAAACAAAAGCATTCCAAAAAGTGTTCTCCAGCAAGATCGAGGAGTCGAGGTTATAGAAAGTACAGTAGATCTCGATCACATGAACGGAGAGAGTCTTATGATAAAATTTCATCTGAGGATGAATCAGTTTCCAGCTCAAAATCTAGGTCGGCCAGTCCAGTAAAGAGAAAAAATTTCAGCGTTTCTGCGTCAAGATCGAAAACTCCACGCAGACAAAAGCATTCCAAAAAAAGTTCTCCAACAAGATCGAGGAGTCGAAGTTATGGAAAGCACAGCAGATTTCGATCACGTACACGGAGAGAGTCTTATGATGCGAGAAGATTACATTCCAGAAAAAGATACAACAAAAAGTCTCCCAATGGATCACCTCCGTCAAAACGAAGACGCATGGGTGATAGGGAGAATCCTAAGGAATGCAAATGCTTAGGAATTTTTGGGATGAGTTTTTACACAAATGAACAAACGCTTCGTGATGTGTTCAAGAAATATGGCCCGATTGATAGGATTCAAATAATATATGACCACTATAATTCAAGATCTCGAGGATTTGCTTTCGTCTCATTCAAACATATTGATGATGCTGTAAATGCGAAAAAGGATGCATCTGATATGGAAATTGATGGTCGTAGGGTCAGAGTTGATTATTCGATAACTGAGAGAGCACACACGCCAACACCAGGAACATACATGGTGTTTAAAAGAGGCAACAGAGGTAACGAACGAGGCAAGCACAATTTTCACTCACCAGCCAAACAAAATGGTGGGGGAAGTAGATACAGGTCGCCATCAAGAGATAGATATTGATGCCCGTAACTAACAATTAGTTTTTTGACAACTTACTTGATTTTATCTTATAGTTTTTATTATGGTATCTTTGTTAAACTAACTTTTGCAATTGTACAAAATTGTTTAAATTCTGATAATGATTGCGCTTTGACATGTAACAAACTAATAATTGGTCAGTTTTTTATTAAAAATATAATAGGTGAAGTGGAAGATGAAAAAATTACATTTTTTACTGTATTGAAATGATTGCGCATCCTTCTTATAATACTTGTAACTATTGCAAGGGGGATCGTAGCTTCTCTAAACTGAAACTAATAAAACTCAGATTTGAATTATACTTTGTTTTAAGATCGGCTTAACTCTTTGGCCAATTTATCAATCAAGCAAGAAATAACAGAAAATATAGATTTTTTTAAGCCTTATGAAACATAAAGTGTTCCATTTTAATAACTGCAATCAATGTCTAGATGATTTAAAAAAAATATTTTAATCCAAATAATAATACAACACTACTTAATTCGTAAATTCGATGATTAATAATGATTAATAATAATAAAATTAATAATCCAGTTTCATTTATTTTATAATAAACACAATAATCAATAATCCCAAAAAAACAATAGTTATTAAACCAAGAAAATAGTAATAAGCAAATGTTGTAGTAAGTGATTATTATTATTATATTGTAAACCTCAAACTTGTAAACTTTAACAATAATGATGATAATGTTGTGATAATGAGAACAATGACACGTTAGATTTTAGCTCAGGCATATTTCTTTCGTGCTTTATCTTTCACTCTTCTTTCTCTCTCTTCTATTCTGTTGTCTTTCTTTCTAAATGTCATTTTCTCTTTCGCTTTTTCTAAAATACAAATAAAACTTTGTAAATTGTAAATTTTTTAATTTTTCATTTTCACTTATGAAAATAAATCTTTCAATAAATCAATTTTAACTAAGTTCTTAGACGTCAAAAGATTTACAAAATCAAAATATTTGAAATCTTTGTAATTAAAGCTCATTACGAAAAATGTTCGTTCCGAGTATGATACCCATATCCAGGAATTTTGGCTGGCTAGGAACATCAAAGTGGATATAATTGTAAAATGAAAAATCAGATGGTGAAAAAACAACTATGTAAATTAAGTAAAAATAAAAAAATTAACATTAAAAAAGTTAATAGTTGACCTACAAACAACTGTAATTTAATTATGAATATTAAACACGCAGACAATTACAAATACATATTTTAGAGGAACTCATACAGAGATATGTTCATTCCATAGTTAGTTGTTTATGGTTGTAAAACAGAAATACGGACAAAGTTTTTAAACAAAGTTATAAATGTTGTGCAAAGCGAAGTTGGAAAACACGTTGTAAAACAAAGTTGTGAGTGTTGCCAACCCAGCCCTATATAAATCGTGCAGGTTGCATTTAGTTGACAAATTCGGCCAACTTAGTGATCTTACTTGTTTATTTGTTTCGCTAATCTGTCTTGAGTTATTTTGCTAGTTCTGAATTTGTATTCACGATGAGCGAATATGAAAAGTTCGATGATAGTTTTTCCATAGACGAGTCCGCGTCCAGATCAAACTCCAGGTCTGAAAAAAGAAGTTCAGCGTTTTTGAATCAAAAACTTCACGCAAACGAAAGCGTTCCAAAAGTTCAACCGAGGACAAATCTGTGTCCAGCTCAAAATCTAGGTCGGCCAGTCCAGTAAAGAAAAAAAATTTTAGCGTTTCTGGATCACCTCCGTCAAAACGAAGACGCATGGGTGATAGGGAGAGTCCTAAGGAATGCAAATGCTTAGGAATTTTTGGGATGAGTTTTTACATAAATGAACAAACGCTTCGTGATATGTTCAAGAAATATAGCCCGATTGATAGAATTCAAATAATATATGACCACGATAATTCAAGATCTCGAGGATTTGCTTTCGTCTCATTCAAACATATTGATGATGCTGTAAATGCGAAAAAGGATGCATCTGATATGAAAATTGATGGTCGTAGGGTCAGAGTTGATTATTCGATAACTGAGAGAGCACACACGCCAACACCAGGAACATACATGGTGTTTAAAAGAGGCAACAGAGGTAACGAACGAGGCAAGCACAATTTTCACTCACCAGCCAAACAAAATGGTGGGGGAAGTAGATACAGGTCGCCATCAAGAGATAGATATTGATGCCCGTAACTAACAATTAGTTTTTTGACAACTTACTTGATTTGATTTTATATATATATATATAATATGTATATATATATATATATATATATATATATATATATATATATATATATATATATTATAATGATATCTTGATTATTTAACGACTATATTTTATTTATCTTTAATGTTTTAGATTTCAGTTTGCTCAATAATTAGAGTGCTAAATAGATAATATTGTTCATTAAAATCAAAAAATAATACATAGATACATACATACATACATACATACACCCAATTGATACAACTAACTCATCATGCCAATCATCTTATTCATTGATTTGAGGGACCAGTTTAATTAAAGATTTTAAAACATCACCCTTTTTCCTCTTTTTTCATTCTTTCTTCCTTTACTTATTTCTTAATTTTTTAAATTTTCAAAACTGAACTGTCTAGATTTGATTTATTAGATATTTTCCATTTTAATAATTAAACTTAATAATTATTTTATTGTTAATAAGCAAACTTTCGAATAAGTCAACAAATAGATTTTGCTTAATGTAAATTAAAGTAGCCTCGAATTCAATACAACTGCTTAGGAACAAAAATAAAATGATTGTACGTTCAAATTAAATTGGTTTTTTGGTTGGTTTATCTCATGTCCAAAAACTATGGAGATTATGTTCGCTTCATCTCAAAATGATGGCAAACATCAAAAACTATCAGATGCAAATATAGAAGTTCAACAACTTCAACATTGTTGGCAAAAGCAGAAGAACCCACAAACATGCAGGAAAGCTTCGCAACAGAAAACACTTAGATGACGTTGAGATAACATAAAAAAGCAATTCAGTTCATGTGGCATAAGCATCAACAGCAACATCAACAACATAAACAACAACATAAACAACAATATAAACAACATCATCCTTCTCAACATCAACATTATCATCAGTAGAACAAAGCCTACAAACAACACTACCAACAACTAAACAACATCAACAATCTCATAACCATCAGCAATAATTTAAGCAATATATTATAAACTGCAACTACATAAACAACATGAAACACACCAACTCAACCTGTAGATAGGATCTTCATAAGTTGAACTCTTCCAACATAAAACCATGGATGTATTGATACAGGCATGCTAAACACAAAACGCACTCTCTGATACCACAAACATAATCGCATCAAAATATCAGCTCACACATGAACATACAAATACATAAGTGTACATTTAATTATAAACTTTATACAAAAACACACAGCAAACAACAACATACAACAATCCAGCATACAACAACACAACAGGAAACAACACAACATGCAACACGACATACACGACAAACGTTTAAAACCCATATAATACATTAAAAACGAGTTGAATCATCAGATTGTCAACTACAATGAACACGATGTTGAAGAACTTGAATGACAAGTGTGTGTGTTGTATGCATGCATGTGTGTGTGTGTTGCTGCATGTATGTGTGTGTGTGTTTGTGTGTGTGTTGCATGCGTGAGAGTGTGTATTATGTATGTGTGTTGCATGCGTATGTGTGTATATATATATATATATATATATGTGTGTGCGTGTGTGTGTGTTCGTGTGTGATTGGTCAATTATGTCTATCACGACAGAGCATTTGCATGTTTTTGATGTGAAACATGCTGACATCGTTATGATCACATGCATGTGCCTGTGTGCATGTGTCTGGTATTGATAGTTTCAAATAAATGTTTTTTTAATTATAAATATACACGTGTGGATGTGTATGCGTGAATGTGTATGCCTGGTGGGCTCGCACACACGCAGGCACATATAAGTGCCACAAATTAGTTGAATTGTATCCATTTCGTCGTCGCCATTTTTGTCACGTGCAAAGAAAAGAAGCTCTTTGTTGTGTGCGTGTATGTTGTTGTTGTGTGCGTGTTTGTTGTTGATGTGTGCGTGTATGTCGTTGTGTATGTGTTATTGTTTGTTGTGTGCATGTTTGTTGTGTGCGTCTTCGCTTTCTTTGTTGTTGTGTGCGTGTTAATGTGGCGTTGAGGTTTTGACAATGTTGATTTGTTATTGTTTTAAACAATAGTTGTGTGTGAACTTTTCTGTAGTGTCCGTGTATATATATATATATATATATATATATATATATATATATATATATATATATATATGTTGTTTTTGTTGTTGTTGTTGTTATTGTTGTTTTTGTTTATTACGATTCTGTTTACTGTCACCTCTATCATGATGACGTCACAAATTTGTTACGTATACATGTAGGTGTGTTTGTATGTTCTAATGTTTTTACATTGTTGTTTTGACGGATGGATACATGATGAGGTTCATTCCATTGTGCGTCAATTGTTGTTGACGTAAAAGATTGCTTGCTACTTACATGGTGTTTTTGGTCTGAGACATTGTCTTGGATGGTGTTTCAATCGTTTGTATGTGGCGTGATGTGTGAAGGTGAATGTAAATGTGTGTGTGAGTGTGTGTGTGGTAAATGTGTGTGTGTGTGAGTGTGAGTGTGTGGCGATATGTGTGCGCGCGTGTGTGAAGTAGATGAAGAATTATTATGTTTATATGTTTTAGTTTAAATTGTTCAAATTAGTCACAGCTTCATTTTTCATTTTTACTTGAATTAATTCGAAGAACTTGATTTTTTAATTATCAATTAATTAAATTATTTTGTTAAAATTGTATTAGAGCGGCTTTCTTGTTCATTTGTTTTGTATTAAGGTTGATTGGTTTTTTGTTCCTGTTTAGTTATGTTGTATGTTTGTTTGCTTGTTTGTTTGTTTGTATGTTGGTTTGTTTGTATGTTTGTGTAATTATATGTGCAACTGCCTACAAACAAATCATTTCATATAAAAGGCCAAACCTGATTAGCGGTTTCTGATTTAACTAGTGTCATTAACTGCACTCAACTCAAATGTAAACAAATTGAAGTCCGTGATTGCATTTTTCCTAGTTTATTTTTCTGTTATTTTTGTGGCGCGTGGTGAGTGCCTCATTAGGAGCTGCTTCATTCTGCATGTAAATTCAAGTGCACCAACTTCGCATCAGACTTCAAGACTGTACTACGCGTGTGTGTGTGTGTGTGTGTACGTGCGTATATGTGTTTGTGTCAGTGTATGTGTATGTATGTGTGCGTGCGAATATATGTGCATTGCTTTTACAAATGTATTTATGTATAAAAGTGTTGTTTGTATGTTGTCTATCAATGTACGTGTGTGTTTGTATGTAATGTATATTTTCGAGTTTGTTTCAATAACTGATCATTTTGTTATGAAATAGCGTCTTGTATGTTTTACTACGATTTTTATAATTTAAAGACACTTTAAAATACTTTAAGTTTGTATGGATTAGGGATTTGTAGTGGTTGCTTTAGAACTTGTTGTTATCAATAGAATGATAACAACAATAGTGATATCAATAGCACTTGCTTCTCCATATCACCTCACTCTTCAGGAGGTTTTCATAATTTTTTGAGTTCGCGAGTGCCAAATGGTCCTGCATATTTGTTTCATTGAAATTGAATGCACGACAGCTTTCACGCATATGTACATGGATGAACATGGAAAACATAGACACACACACAAATCAAACACATTCTAAGCAAAAGTAACATTCATACACGCACATAACTCCTTTACGCGCACACATACGTGAATAAATAAAAATAAATAAACAATGATACACACACTAACATACGCACGCACGCACACTAACACACACACGCACATTAACACACGCACACTAACACACACAATCAGAGAGAGAGAGAGAGAGAGAGAGAGAGAGAGAGAGAGAGAGAGAGAGAGAGAATACAGAGAAGCACGTCTGCAAGTACGTGAGCATATTTGTATGACAGATCAAAGCGCAAATTGAAAAATTGATGAAATAAAGTTCACATGTACACATACATAATTACGTCTATAATAATATTATATAAATATGTGTGTATGATTGTGTGTGCGTGTGTGTGCGTGCATGTGCGTGTGTGTGTATGATCATATTTTTTCTGTTTAAAAAACTTTCATTTTATAAATTAATTGCTGTAGGAATTCTTTCACGATGTGGTTCTTATGTATAATTATGAAGGCGTCTGTGGATTGTGATGTGGTTCCAAATCCTCCCAACATCATTACCGCATTCATTGAGCAACATGCCTACGTTTTGTTGCATGAACGAACGAGTTCACCTGAATGAACGAGTGAACACCACTTTCTTTGTCTATGCTCTATAAGCATCTCTGTTACCGATGAAGATATGTTTCATCTCAATACATATCCAAATGCATGTTTCATATTTGTATATATGTTCATCCGAATGTATGTTTGCATTTTTGCAGGCAGATGTGAGCCAGTAGTTTCTTGCATGTATTACGTTTATGCGTCCAAGTTCATGTTAAACGTCACCATAAACAATTAAACAAATATTTCGGATTACTCTTTTGTTATGTATGTGCGTACTACCTCTTGAAACTTATACATATACATATATATATATATATATATATATATATATATATATATATATATATATATATATATATGAATATATATATATATATGTATATGTATACACATGAAAGTATATATAATATGAATTGTATGCACAATAAACTTACTTAAACTTGTTCCTCGTATGCTTGACTGAACAAACACGTGAACGAACATGTGAACGAACATGTGAACGAACATGTGTTTGAATGATGTGTCTTATTGTTTCTGTATTGTTGTACGTGATGTTGTACTCTTCGTGTATGTCATAACGTTTTTGTAATGCTGAAAATTTTTTAAAGTACTTTGTATACATTTTACGATGCCATAAAACTGTTTTCATACATCCTTTTGTGAAAATGTTTGAAAGTGTTAGTACGTTTGTATGTTTGTTTGTCTCCAAATAAGTTTTTCTCCATCAATAACTATTTGTATATTATTGCTGGTAGGTAATTTGAGGGCTTGCATTTGCATCTGTGGTTTTGTGTTTTCATATGTTTATATGATTT